ACGACGGACGAGGCGGCGGATCCCGCAGCTGTGGGAGCCGTGTGCCGTCATGGACCATCGCAACGGGGCCCAATACGCCCCTTTGCTTTTGGCCCAGCCGTACAAAAGGGATCGCCCTCCGCCGCGGCGCGAGTGCCGCCCGCGTGCAGGCGCGTCGGCGGAAGAACGCCAAAGGAAAATGCCGCTTTGACGGCCCCTTCAGCGGCCGCCGCCGCCCACGCCACCTCGGAAGCCGCAGGGAGCGGCGTGCGACGCAGGAACCCGCACATAAAAAACACCTGCCCTCTTCTGCGCCCACACACTTTTTGAGAAACTGCAGACGGTGAAACAGCCGAGAGAAGACGTTATCGGCGCAGTAGCTTCATTTATTTTGTTGCCATTATTTTATTTATTTTACCAGACGCACCTCGCGCCAGGCCACTCCCCTATCGCAGGCTCGCAGCAAAAGAAATAGTAATAATAATAATGGCTTGCTGCGCCCATCACCTCTTCAAAGCGTTGTGTCCTTCCAACAACCGATGGCCGTGGCGATTGGCGCCACAAACCCCACCGCGTATTGAGATATTAAAACATCATTGATGCACAAATAGCCCTCGGACGCTTTCAGTTTCATCTTTTTTTCCGCTTTTCAATGCCCCTGGCAGCGCTGCCACCGCGCCGCGCTACGTTTCACTGGGGATGTATTTCTCGCTTCACCCCCCTTTCCCCCTCCTGCCGCCACAGCACACACGCCTGTCTCGCCGCCCCAGCGGCCACGCTGGAAGAGAAAGGATCGTCCGGCAGCGTTGTCAATGGGGCACAAAAAAAAAAGAGAGAAAGAACTATGGCAAAAAAAAAACAAGTCGGCTTCATCCTTTACATGTATACACGCCCTGGGCATGTGCACCAAAAAACAAACACAGACACAAAAAGCATATGAGAGGCCTCGAAAGAGCAATAAAAAAAACACCACGACATACCTGGGGCCTTTCATTCGTCGCTTTTATCTCTCCCCACTTGTCTTTGTTTCCTCTCTTGCTTTCTTTGCTGCCGTTTGCACTGGGTGTTCTATGGTACAATCATAGCAGTAGTAATAATAATTGTGCTAATAAATATAAAACACAGCATGCAGGTTATCGCCTAGTCTACATCACTCAAAATGTACCGAAATCCATGGCGTCGACAGTTACACCGTCGCTCACTTATTACCTATTATCTTTATGCGTCGCCCTTTCTCCCTCCCTCCCCGCTTGCCTCCTCCTTCGCAGCCCACGTCATTGCGGGGTGCCCCCACTCCCCCCTCTGATTACACATGTCACCAGCAAACCCGCCTCCGCCCAAAGCAACGGAGGTGGGTCGACACTCCCCCCCCCCCCCAATCCCAATATACACCTCGTACGTGTATGTGCATGTATGCGTGGGAATCCCACACAACATTGAAGGGGACAAACAAAGCAGAAGGAGCGGTAGGCACAGCGACAGCAGCGAAAAAGAAAAAAAAACATGCACATATACATCAATACAGCCATGCCCGTTTCGGTAAAGGGTGTGAAAGAAACTTCTTCCCCTCACCCCGCAATGAGCAAGACACGGCCTACCACCCACCGCCTCCTCTTGTTCGTCTACATGATGGGAAAGAAAAGTATACGAGGAAAAACAAGGGTGGAACGAAAGGCTAAAGAAAAAAAGGGAGGTGGGGGAAGAGGAGCAGACAAGTTCTAAAAGGTGGGCATGGGGCGTGCCTCAAATGCGTGAGGGAAAGACACTGCATCCACGTCGAAGGAGTACCCCCTCCACAGCCACACCCCACAGCACCTCTGCCCCTGATGAAGCTAAAAAAAAAAAAGTCATGTGTGTTCACAATATATGGAGCGGAATCTGAGTCGGGGTGTGACGAAAAAAAAAGATGGGAAAAAAGGAGTAAACACACACACACACGAGGAAAAAAACAAAAAAAACTACAATAGCAGGCACAAGCCATTTACATACATGACACCCTTGATCATTTCAGTGAAGTGCGGGGGAGAATGGTGACTCCCACAGGGTAGTGGTCACTGGGGCAATCCTTCGTCGGCAGTTCCGTGTACCCAGAGAGCCTCATAACGGACGTGCACACAACGTGCCGTTCGTCAACGAGAATGTGGTCTAGCACCCCTCCCTCCCCGTTGGAGGACGGATTCACTGTAGACACATGCCGCGGGTGTCGCTCGCGGTACGTGGCGTAGCTATCACTAAAGGCAAGCGCGTGCTCGACGGTGTCAGTAATCCGGTACCTTTTTCGCGTGCCGTCTAGCTTCTTCTGCTCCTGCTGCTGCTGCTGCCCTTCAGCCGTCACACCCGTGGAGCTGTTAAGCAACCGAGACGGGAAATCCGCCTCTCCAGACTCTGGGTCATTCGCCTCCTGCTCCCCCTCCTCTGGTAGTTTCCAATACTTCATCACCTCACTTCCAGGTGGCGGCACACCAGTCAAGGCATAGCGAATAGGAGGAGACACTGCGTCCGAGTTAAAATCGCCCGCCAGCACTAGTGAAACCCGCGGTGTCTCATCTTTCCCGCCACCGGCAGCCGTCTCATATTTCTCTTTTAGCTTCTCCATCTCGCGAAGTAAATGATGCATCTGCCACAACTGGCACTCTGTGCGGTTCCAAATGAGGTGCACGGTGCCAATCAAGTAAATCATATTGGGCACAACACGGTCGCGCAAAACAGAAATCAGGGCAACATTGTGTGATGCCGCCTGAAGGGATCGACGCTCACGCTGCGTGAGCTGCTCGTCAGCGGCGGCAATCTCATTAAATCGGATAGGCACAACTTCGCAAGAATCAAAACGGTCCTCCAAGTACAGCACACACACGCCCTCCATCTCTGGGCGTTTCCGGAGCTCCCTGCCGCCGGCAGAACAAACGGCCTTCGCCGGTGACACAGGCCTCCCCCCGCGCTGCGGAGCGGATACATCTGCTTCCTCGTTAGCACGGGCATCGCCCGTATTCCCAGTGGGGTCGTCCCTCTCGTACCTTGGGCGTCCGCGTGTGTCGGTGACAACAACGTGATCCCCGACGAATCGGTGCTTCGAGCGCAACCAGTCGCCGAGCAAACCTGGTTTTTCAAACACGTCAACGCTGATCTCCTGAAGCGCAATAATATCAGGGGCGGCACACGCTAATTCCTCTTTCAGAAGGGAACATCGGTAGTCCTCGGCGAGAGCAAACATGGGGCAGTGCGGGTACAGCTCCGTGGACACTAAACGCTGGGCTAGGATGTTGTAGCTCACTAGTTTCACCTTTCCATTTGACGACGACGAACTCAGTTTCTTCCCCACATGTGTGAGAGACCAACCGCGAGGCATCAAACCTTCATCGGCATCATCTCGTGCCGCGGCGACGCGAGGGTTGTCCAGCAACGTTTCTGCGTTCAGGCTGGGAAAACTGGCGCTGCAAAGCTTCTTTTCTCGGCGCTCTAGCAAAGTTAAATGACGCGTTGCCACAATTTTGGAATCATTTCCTACTCGTGGGGGGGTGCAAGTCACCAACTCGCCGCGTGCAAGAAACGAGGGAAGCTCCGATGTCTTTGTTCCGCAGTGAAGAGAAGCCTCATTTAACTCCTCAGCACTCGTTAGCGACAAGTGAAAAACTGACTTGGGCGACATTTTTGCCATGCCTCTATGATACATCCAATGCACACCAATTAGGTGCTTTTCGCGTTACCTTCGCCCGTTTCCTTGGTCCCTTGCCGTTCTGTTTTGTTCCTTTGTGTGGATGTTATTGATGTTCGTTCGCTCCTTTTCTGTTTTTGCTTTGCTTTCTTCGGCCGTCTCTCCAGACGGTATCTGTCGACAGATATATGGATATAGCGATGACGCAAATCAGAAACGCTTGTGCTTACGTGTGTGCGTGTGTGCACGGACGTACGCTGCTGGCACACAAGCCTCTCTGCCCCGCTGTCCCGGTCACGCTCCCCCCCCCCTCCCCTCGCAAAGACTGTGCTGCAGGGCGAGGGGCCGGTCACGGGAGAAAAGGGAAGGAAGGAAAGAAAGCGGCAGCGGCAAAATATAAAAAAAGACCCACGCACGAAGAGGAAATAAAACAGCACGTGCAGAGAGGCAGCACGGCGGAAGCGCGGCAGGGAGCGGAATCTGTCCGTGCAAGAAGGGAAAGAGTGGGGGCCTGCGGCCCGCGTTCCCTCCCCAGAAGCCTGCAAGCAGGGGAAAAGTACATGCGAGAGCCGTCCAAGTGTACGCCGCCACCGCAGCGCAATGGAGGAGGGAGAGGGAGAGGGAGGCCACACACGCACAGACACAACTGGAATAAAAAAAAGAGGAATCAGCGATGGCAGCGACGCCAGCGAAAAACAACCGAACTTCCTTCAAAGTAGAAAAGAGAGAGAAAAAAAAGGCTGAGGCTGCGGCGGCGACGACAAGAACAACAACAAGAAGGAAACAAATAAACTGGCTCGACGGAGGATAATACAGACGCTGGCAGCGAAGAAATCAAACTCGCGCCCCTTGCATAAGGCATTTAAACATCCGCAAGCCACAACTCATGTTTGCCTCTCAGTAAAAGTGGGAGGCAAAAACACGAAAAACAAAAAAATAATAAATAAACATTACCCTCGAACGTCGTTCAAAGGTCATTTGCCCAAGCTGCGGTAGAGTTGCGTAAGCTCCTCGTCACGCGCCAGCACGAGTTCCTGCAGCTCAGCAATCTCCCTCTCCATCTCGGCCTTGGCCTTTTCCGCCTTTAACGTTAGGCGTCGACCATCGCCCGCCGCCTCACCGCGTGCCAGCGCCAGTTCCCCTCGCTGTCGCTGGAGTTCGTCGATCAACTTCATCTGCTGTTCATACTTCGCTCTCAAAGCGGCGGCGTCCTTCTCAGTCACATGCAACAGAGCCTGCTTTTGCAGCTGCGTAAAACGCTCGTGCAGCGCGAAATCCTTTTTCTCTACTGCTTTCAACTCACTCTCAAGCTCCTTCAGCTTCGCGCGCAGGTTCCGTTCCTCCTCTTGCTGTCTCCCCCGCAGGGCCGAGACGGAGCGGTCGCCTTCACGCACCTCTTCCAAGCCTTTATTTCTCTGACGTCGCACGGACAGCAGTGTCTTCACCTCCGCCTCCACCTCTCCCACCTCCTTCCAGGCCGCGGTGATCTTGTTTCGCACCTCGTTCACCTGTGGGTCGTTTATGGGTCTCCGGTCCTCGCGCCGCAGCTTCTCTAGAGCGCGACGAAGTGCCCTGTTGGACGCCACTAGCCGGTCTCGCCTACTGGGCCCGTCGCCATCGGCGGAGCCCGTCGCCGCGCAATTCATCTGCCGCTGCAGTTCGCCCAGGACTTTCCGCTCCTCCGCCAGGAGCTCTAGCTGGTGCCTCAGCTCATCCTCCAGCTCCCGCACGCCGTCGTCTGCCTCCTCCAGCATGGCCCACGGCTCCGCAGCTTCCTTCCCTCTCTCTTCTGCGCCAACGCCGGTGTTCAACTCCCCTCTGTGAGGACGCACCGCGCCGCAACGAGACTCGCACGCACCAGAGTACAGGAAAAGTGTGTCGAAAAAGCAAACAAACAGCACAAGAAAGAAATAGAAAGCCTTACATAAAGAGCACATATGCAGCAGAAAGGGGTCAGAGGCAGCGGAGGATAATCCACGCTTATCCCTCAAAAAAGCCATCTACGCCAAGAGGAAAAGGGGAAAAATGGCGCGAGCCGGGTCTATGGCCAAAAGCAGCGACTGCCACTTCTCTGAAGCCGCTGTCTCCCCCCACCCCACCCCACTCCTATTTTTTTTAAATGTATATAAGAAAACAAGAAGGAAAAAAGAGGCCGCAAGGGGAGTAAAAAAAAAACTGTGCAATCCCGCTTTGATATCGTGGCACTT